AAAATAATTACAAAATATATTTTGTACATACACGGATTTTAAAAGCAAACTTCTTTTCCGTCAATCTGAGCGATAACTGATTCCTGTTTGGCTTTCAAATCCGCTTACCGAGTGAAGATGGTAACCCGGTTTCGTGGAAATGCTGTTCCGAGAAATGTTTTCTTCGACGTCATGTTCGGGCAACGAATAGTGTATGTGATAGGGGTTTAAGGCTGTAAAACACAACGCAGTGTAAAGCGTATCTAAAGAGCGAAGCTTACCCGGAGATATATCAGTACTGCGAACTCACGCTGAACTAAAAACTAACAACAACTGAGAAACTGTTGTTGTCTCCGATCTTATACAGTTTTCAACCGGCAGCCGAGATATTTCTAGTACTTTCTGCTTTTCGGAATTACTGGAAGGCATATGAGAGCCGGATATGATTACAACTACATAGGAGATTGATTAAAGTTGTTCAGTTACAATAACCATTACAATTATACATAGACAGGACCAAAATGTCGCCAAAAACATAGCCAGTTGGGCGGTATCTTGTAACTTTCACTCAATCCAAAATAGACTTGCCCATGTATTCTTATTTTTCTGGCAGAGCATTCTTTCTTTAGATTTTCATGTTGCATTATACAGAAAAAAAAATGCAAAAAATTCATATATAATTTCATTAAAATTACCTATCTATGGACAAAATTCATAACATATGAATGATATATAAGTTCATATCAAATTACAATTTTATTTAAATTAAAATCATTAAACAAGACTATATTCGTCCATTTATAAAAATTTTGCATTTGTTAGAAATACTTGCAAGGGTAAGGTATTGTTATTAACCCATGAAATAATTCCGACACAAAACTTACCTTGAGGTAAAGCGATAATATTTGGAAGTGCAAATATTAAAGACTTTCCTAATATTTGTAATAATATTTTATTTTCAGCAAAAATTGCATTTCAGACGGCACCAGATCTTCGATTTTCCGAGGTGGGGCAAAAACTTAAAACTGCCGCCCTCGCCCATTCTTCTTTATAGTTCTCTACCGAGTTCGAACCTTTTTAATAAATACAGAAATAGGTTGGGTTTGAGACAAAACATAAAATCCATTTTAAGAGTAAGAAATTCTGTATGTGCCATTTTTATTATAAAGGAAAGATTCATATACAAAATTACATAATTAAAAATCCGCGTTACCCTTCCTCAGATGAGTCGTCACTCCAGCACACCGAATTAATCAAATTTACATTTTCCCTGAATAGCCTTTTTTCAATGTTTGCAAAAATAATGAACCATACAAATAGAAGACGATTCAGTATTAAACACTAAAGCAGTTCAGAATAGTACAAAAGTAGAAATCCCATATTACTAAATAATAGCTTAAAAATATGTACAAGTTACAAATCACTAATGCGATGGACTGCATAATTAACACACCGGTTTCTGTAAATTAACAATTATTTTAATCTAGCACGTTAAAATTTCAATTTCACAATAATATGTTTATATATAGGCTACTCAAAAATGCTACTATCTTATTTTCATCACAAAGCCCAATAACATAATAAATATTTGAATATTCACAATTTCAAGACTATTTTTGCACTAAAATAATCAAATTTGTATTGTTACGAATTTTGCACTTAGATATGTAATTTTAATCGAATTATAAGTAAAATTGTTGTATTTTTCTGTATAATGTAGTGCTAGACAAATTTTAAGAGAAAGCTATGCCCGAAAAGTAAGATTACAGGGACAAGTGCATTTAAATGAAAAATGGGTATCCGGTATTTGGGGCGAATCGCGTAAAGTAATTTTCTTACCAATGAGATAAATAAATCCAAAATCGAGAAATAATCAAGAATTGGATATAATATTTTAAGCTTTACTACTTTTAGAAAGTTTTCTAACCGAAAACTTTAAAATAAAAGAATTAAATCCGACATAAAAAACTTTTCTTAATTGATAATAATTTGAACTATATTTTCGGAGGATTATGAAACGTAAATGGATAAGAAATATTTTATTCAAATGTACTGAAATTTTATCGCATGAAGAAAAAACATTTACAGAGTTCCTGTAATCGAACTCTAACCGAAGATTTCAAGTAATACACTTCTTACTTTAGCTAAGCCGAAAAAGAATTAAAGGCATTTCAATAAGCTATAATTTTCATGCCTTTTGCATCGCCTTTGGTGAACAAGGATTTTTTCATGTTTATTTGAAAAAAATACGGAACAAATGAAAGTGATCCTAATTACGGTTAAAACTAAGTGAAATAATTCAGACATAAGAAACGATCTTCCTAACAGCCCGAGTTTACTTAAATTTAGAATAAGTATTTAATTTAAATTTTGATAATTTATGGTAGCCAATTTAATCTAATATTTTTTTGTCATATTGATACACTAGCAAAATACTCTTTTTTTAAATACATCTATTGAGAAACTGAAAAATAATCATTGTAAAATGTAGTAGTGGTACTTAAGTTTTCAATTTTTCATTTAGCTTTCCAAAAATATCAACTACATATGTCCTAAACACGCCAACTATAATTCACTAATTAAACAATTTTGCAATTCCAATTTCAAATCACATAGGAAAATTTGAATTTCTGATCGAAGTTCAAAAAGACGATTTAAAACGTTGCCTCAGGATAATCACCTCACTTCGAAATGTAATAAAAGTGTTTCATGTTCACTGCACATCTCTTGGCGTAAAATCGTAAATATTCTTTAAAGCTAGGCTTTTAATAAAATTAACAATTTTCACAGTTTGATTGAAACCGATTTTCTGGTTTTTGAGGATTGTTTTGGCTATTAAACCTTCACAACGAATGGAGCACTGAGTAAACTGAGTTTCAGGTTCGACCTTCTTTATTTGAGAAATAACACTGGAATGTTTTCCTGTTAAAACCTCAGCTCCGTCACTACCTACGGCAATGCACTTATTCCAAGGAATATCATTCTCAGACATAAAACTGTCAATTACTTTGAAAATTTCATTTGCATTTGCTCTATCATGAAGAGATTTAGAAAATAAATACTCTTCGGCAATTCGTTTATCTTCCTAGAAACGTATGTAAACTAATAATTATACAAAGGTCATTATATCGGTACTTTCATCCAGTTGCAATGCGGAATACTCACTGCGTTTATTTTTTGAATAAGTGTCTCTTTTATGGAATTTGCCATTTCATGAAGTCGTCGACTTACCATACCATTTGATAATGGATTAGCTGCTTTTTCATTGAATGTTAAAACGATATCTTTAGCTGGTATAACATAAAGTTTTTTATCCAATAGTGTAGTCCGCCCGGTCTTGACAATTCTTAGGCTTGCTAGTAACTAGCTTCCAAAGCTTTTTTACTTGAAGTAACAAAACCTTTCATTGACGCCCACTCAGTAAAGTGGTTAGCGTCGCTGACTGCTGTGTCGAAAGTCCCGGGTTCAAATCCCGGAGAAGCATGGATATTAGTAGATGTATTGCGTCTGTGCGGCATGGGGGCACTCTAAACATGCGGCATGCTGAAATTTTCTCGAGAGGTTGGTGACAGGGAAAGAAAGTGGGAGACATTCAGACCCGTCCCCAGATCTAATCTATAAATTCTTCTCAAAATTGGGGATGGATCTGAGCTAAATCCCACTGTCACCTGTAAGGTGCACAAGATTGATCAATGACAGGCATAAACTTGCACTCCTTGCCACGGGGGTTTTCGTGGGCTTGCGCTGACTCTAGGTCAGACAAGTGAGCATTACCAACAATAACAAATTTTTCATTACTTTTTTACAATTTTTGAATTCCGATAGTCCTGCCGACGTCTTAAAATATTCTTCAGATTTATCCTTTAAACTGGCATGCTTAGATTCAAGATGTCTTTAAGAAACAATGGTTTCATACTTTGATTGGATAACAGTTCACCGCAAACAACACATCGAAGTTGCGGGCCCATTTCATCTCCCAGTGGAATGGTGCAACACCGGAGTACCTGGATTAAACCCACCTTTCATGGAACAAGTAAACCCAAATGATAAACAGCTTTCATTATATTTTCTATACGCAATTTTTCTTTTCAATATTTTTAGTGCTGTAGTCCACTCACCTGTAAATCATCACTTTTCAGCTTAGTCAATCCTAGCCATTTTTCCATTTTGAAAAATCTAGGTTTGTTATGCTATTTTTTCACAAATATTTAAATGCACAATATACTACGAGGTCTCCAAAAATAAACGACGATATTCTCAAATCGTGTAGAAAAGTAAGGAATACAAAGCAACAAGAAGACAAATACCTGCTGTTAAGAGATAACAAACTGACGTAAAAAATGATTCAAATTGAAAACAGAGCAATGTGAACCCAGAAATGGTGGCGATAAAAAGGGAAGACATGCTAATGAATTGGTAAACTCTAAAAGAATTAATGAGATACAGTTACCGTTTTATAGAAACTTATTTTTATTCCTATTAAATACAACATCCATTTCTATTACTCTTTTTAAAAGCATCATTTATGACAAATTTTGTTATGTCAATGGCTAAGAGAATATTTGTGAAAATAAAAACGGATTATTTTGCTAAGTCTATGAGCAGCTATTGACCTTGAATAAAGATCAGATTGCGTAAATTTACGTGTGTTAGAGAAAAAACTTAATAAGATGTTGGGGTATTTAATTTTTGAATTTGATAGTTAAAAATACCTTGTTTCTTTCTGTACCACCTATTTTTCTCTTGCGTACCACCAGTTGAGAATATTTGCTCTAGAGCTTTAGGTACAGGCTTCTTTTGCACTCTCACTATAACTTTTCATCCAGTTTTTAGGACATAAAAAGGTACTCACTTTTCTGACAATCATATCAAAACATGAATTATTTACTGAATCTTGGAACTGGTTCTATTATAAAAATTTTGTATTATGAACTCCATACTTAAAATAATTAAACATGATATGGATATAAACAATATGTCAGGTAAGACACTTTTTTAAAATTTGGAATGAAGAATTCCCATAAAACTGAATAAAAATCTTTAATAATGTTACATTTCAATTTATATGTTACTTAGGATACTTGTGTGAGTTATTATTGGCAGTTATATCGTAAAACTTAGAAGTCCTCATTTCCAGGATTGATGACTCTTAAAAAGCTCTCAATTTGACATCAATTACTTTTCTTCTTTCAACTGAGGAAAATAATGAATGATGAAAAACGCCATGTTATATTACAAATGCAAGATTATTTTCATAATGACACTCAAAGGAGGCTGTAGGGATGCCTGAAATCAAAGAAAGAACTTGTTAAAGTTCAGTTGTAATTTTGCATTAGAATAAATCATCTTTACACAGTTAAAAGGTTCTTTAGAAATCATACCTGCAAGTTTTATTTCTTTAAATATCTATACTATACAATGCTAAAAAAAGGGCAGGGAATTTACTAAAAAGAAAAAGATCACTTTTGACAGATGGAAGTGAATTACAAAATTAAAACTCAACAATTTAAATAGTTCCTGAAGAGTAAATATTCTGATTAGCTAGTTAATTGAGTAATGAATTACACTAAAATCTTTTATACTATCCACCTCTTAAAGTATCCAGGATTTATTAGAAAGTAAATGTACATCAGTATTTATTAGAAGAATTCAGTATGTTTGCATAATGAAACTTGAAACCTCAAAACAAGTCCATTGGAAGGTATACAATTGGCTGCAAAGACTGGCTAATCTTCAGCCACTCCACCATTCTGTTCCGAAATGTTCCTGCAGCAGGCAGGCAGCTTAAAATATAGAACTGACGACATATTTTTTTATGTGAAAGAATTAGTTTATGTAAATGTATTTTGAACACTGAGCTTATTCATTTTAAATGTTTCTAGTTTTCAACCTATTTTGTTCTCCTCCAGCTGCATAATATTTCTTTCTTCTTAAATAAAGAACTCCTGTTTATTATAATTTGTGATTCACTGTAATTTTTTTAGAGGTTTATTTAATGCCCTAGTAGCATTAATTAAATCAAACAACAAAAATCTGCGTTATATTTTCACAATTGAAAATATAACGCTGATTTTTGTTGTTTGACTTCTAAATTAATACTTGTTTGGCATGTTTTTGTATCTTAGCCTTAGTAGCATGTTTAAAATTTAAGTGCATGTATATCAGTCATGAATGTCAATATTGAACATTAACTGTCTAAGGTCCCTCTTCCACCATGTGTGATCAATGTATTTTACACATTTCCTATAAAATAACTATTTATGATAGATGAGCCATTAGGTGTATCTACAGAAAAGAAAAATCAAAGTTTTACCTACAGCTCAAAGATTCCATATATGTCAACTGCTTGTCACATGGCAAATACTCACACAGTAATTAAATTTTTGATTTACACATAACAGCTACTCTATATTGTTGATTTCAGTACTTTGAATTTGCTGTCAGAATTCTAGCGTAGCTTGAGGTAGGAAAAGCATTGCACTGGTGGTACATTAACACAGGAAAAACTGGCATGATTCATTGCAGGGTGAATCTTGAAAGGCAACTGAAAAATTCATTGGCGGTAGTACAGCCAGTTTAGTAGTAAAGCAGATAGATATTCATTTAGGTAGTTTCCCGTTTAACTTTAATATTCTACTTATCAATTGAAAACTTCATTGTTTTCTATCCTAAATACAACAGTTGGAAAAAGTAGTGGCAACACATTTATAGTTCTGAAAATACTATATTATTTTAGTTCTTGCATAGTGTCATAGTCACTTAAAATCCTTTAAAGTTATAGTCTGCGATGTTTATGAACCTTTACCAAATTATTGTAAGGCAGCTATTTTCAAAGAGACTACAAAACTGTCAGAAAATATTTAACTGTTTTGAGACTGATTCATTACCTTCAATGCTAATTTGTATAGATGCATTTGTTTCATCTAAAACATACTTCAAATTTAAGTGTTTAATTAAACTGTTAGATGAACTACATATTTTGAATTCCATTTTGCTTCATTATTAATGCAATGTATTTTGCTATATGAGTACTTTTGCTAAGTGCAACAAGAATATATCATTTTCTACCTCATTTGTACAGTTACAAATTGCTATAACTTATCAGCAATTGAGATACTATCCCCTTCTCTTCTGACACATATAAAATATGCAAATATTTCTCAAAGCAATTTACTTATAACTCCATTTTCTCTCTACATAAATTATTTCATTTCTTTTATATAAAAAATCTAACGGGGGGGAGGGGACGTCGTGGGGCGCAATGAATTGGAAGTTGACCTGTCAGCACTATCCTTACCTTCAGGGCAGATGTTTTTATTTTATTTGGCTTATAATTCCTTCCCTATAATATAGTATTTCATCTCGATGTACTCCGTCTTTGATATGATTTAAATCATATTCCTCAACATTATAATTCGCTTCTGATAGTGAAGAAAGTGACACAGAGGTTATTGAAAATGAAAAAATTTTGATTGACAAATTAGTCGGCATTCTCGACACAGCAATTATAGGACTTGAACAGCAGAACTTTGTAACTGAACAAGAAATTATGTCTGTTTGTAGAATTAAAGAGAAAGTATTATCACATAAAACGAAGCAACTTAAACAACTTACATTGAAAGAAATGTTTAATAAAGTAAACCAATAAATATTAAGCATTTTTTTTTGGAAATTTTGATACCCTTTAGAGCATAATTGTTCTTTATTTCATAAATTACGGTTTCATATTTTTAATTTTATAATTTCTGCATGGCATCTTACCAGATTTAAACTGATGATCTACAACCCGGAAAAATCGATAATCCGGAATTGCGGATGTCCCGACGAGTTCGGATTAACGACTTTTGACTGTATTACATATATATACACACATCCTCTAACAGAGTATATATGTTATGTATGCATATCTATATATATATATCTAAGTTATGTATGTATATATATATATATATATATATATATATAACACACAAGGCATCCTGTAAATGTTATGACAAACTTCTGGGGGAGGTAGGGGACATCATTAGGATTAAGAATTTCCCATGCCTGGAAATGTCACAGGTAAAAAATGGGAAAGGAAAAAAGAAGAGAGTGATTAATCTGAAACATTTATTGGACATGGTGCACGATAGCTTGAATGTTACAACAGATGCTCAAAGTTTACACCATCAGACGCCAGACATGCCTGACACTGATGAACCATTGATTGCCAGACATGTTTAAATATACTGGGAGTTTCTTTGATTGTAGCAGCTGTGCAGGTGAGTCTTGCACGAGATCCATTTCAGACATAACAGGATCATGATACATGACACTTTTGATGGCTCCCTAATCCTAAGAAATCAAGGCTTTAAATCCGATGAGCCTAAAGAAATCAAGGCTCGATAAATCCGGTGAACGTGGGGGCCAGGTCCATCACGCCTAATCCATCAATGCGGGAATGATCAATTCAAATGCCTACGCACATCCGATCCAAAATGAGCAATCCATCATGTTAGAACCACAAGTTCTGGGTTCCTATGCAAATCTTAATCCTTATGATGTGCTCTACATTCCTCAGAAGTTTGTCACAACATTTATGGGAAACCCTGCATATGTATGTATATTTATATACTTTTGGTACGGTAGACTGCTACCAAAAAGGGAGGTGCATAACTACATGTTATAGAAGTTGTATATACAAAATTTCAACGCTCTGAAGCTACTTGTTTGTAACTTATGCGAGATACATACGTATGGTTGTACGCACATACAGACGCCATGGAAAAAAATCTCTTGTAAATCCATTTTGGAAAAATGATTGTGTATTATGTATAGATGTCATGCAAAAACATTATTAAATTGCATTTGATAGCAGTCAAAATAGATATTTTTGTTGAAATATGATACCCGAATTTTTTCGCAATTGCAAAATAGTAGAAGTCCAGAAATCTGCAACGCTTGGGACCAGAGGTTGTGCAGATTTTAGGATTTTGGGGATTTCAGGACAGAAAAGATAATTATCAGACTAAAAGTGCAAAATAAATAAGGCATATTACATAAATTTAGTTACATTATTATATACATTAATACAATAATTAATTATATGCATTATATTATTATTACATATATAAACTGATTATATTATATTGTTCATTTACATTAGGCTCCTGTATTTTTAAATCAGCAGGAATCTGCTTCTCCTTTTCTCTCAGAAATAGTCCTGAAATAGGCACCCCATCACTCCTCCACTGCCGGAACCACTTGTACTCGTACAATCTCCTTTTCTCTCAGGAGTAGTCCTGAAATAGGTACCCCAACACTCCACCGTTGCCGGAACCACTCGTTGAACCAGTAATTACAAGACAGCATCGAGGTTTGCCGATTTCGCCTCATGTAAAGATTTCGGATTCCAGTGTTAGAATCACTGTTGCTATAAAATTTCAACAGCTTTTCTGTATTGTTCTGTATATCATACACAGTCCGTGTGGCAATTTCATACGATTCTGCTATAAACCGAGCAGAAGCACCTACCTCCATCTTTAGCAGAATTTCCACTTTTTTCATTACCATCAATGCAACGTGTTTACGTTTTTCAACGTTGCAAGCAGTAAAATCATGAGCGCGTTTCTTATCTGTCATTGTATGAAAAAGCGCTGAAATTAAAAATATTCTTAATTTATCCACAAAATATCTGGATTTAAAAGAAAAAAAAAAAAAAAAAAAAGACATCACTAAACAATCTCGTGAAATAACAAAGCTCAGAAAGTACAACAACGTGAACTTGAAAGAAGAGTTGAGTTAATCGTCTGCTTTTTTCCATCGATGCAGATTGGAGGGAAAAAACTCTTATATCATGATGTCAATAATTTGGTATTTCCATTATGACTCATTATTATTCAGTAATTATGATGTCATTATCCAGTAACTATTTTTCTTCTGTACTCCATGTTGCGGTTTCCGGAACCTATAAACTAAATGTTTATATTTTAAGAGGCAACGCGAATTTCAGGTGTTGGCAGATTTCAGGTCGGTGGATTTTCGGTATTTGACTGTACTTGCTTTACTTCGCACAAGGAAGTAAAAATAAACTTAAGTTAGTATTAATGTTAACATAAATTAAAAAGTAAGAAGAAAAGAATCAGCAAGAACATATGAGAATCTCGAATTTCTTGGAAAGAAAAAAATTGTAAAATATATGCATAATATTTTCTGCCTTTACATGCACTTTACAATGTATTCCTATCATATATATGTTAAAAATTTCAAATTTACAGGAGGACTAATAAACACTATGTTTCATTGATTATAAAGCAACTAGATGAAAAAAAATAGTACTTACACAACAACTTTTCTGGCTTCTTTTTTATGTTGATCAGTTTGAAAATGCCCATATGCATCTGAATGAGAAACTGAAAATTTTCATATGTTGTTACATTAGTACAAAGAACTCTACATAAATATTATATAAAATCAGTTATATATTCTAATCTTTACAATCTAAGATACTGTAACAACAGGGTTTAAAAAATCATGATTTTTTTTTTCTACATTAATTTATCTGGTTGTAACAAAAGATTTCCGCCAAAAAACGTTCTAAATAAAGTTTTTTTTTGGGGGGGGGGCATGAAAGCAATACTTTAATGTGAGTAGTAATCTCACCCAAGTCTATGATTTTCTGACAATGTTTGGATAGTTTTTCAAAGCCTTGGGACCCAGACACTTGGTGGTCGTGAGCCCAAAAACATATCAACCTCATTTCAGACGTCCTGTGCAGAATGGAAGATAGCAACAGCAAGATGTAGTTGCAGGTATGAAAAAAGGCAGAAGTATGAAGGAGTGATGTCAGCGCTATATGGGGTTGTGGCAAAAGATCCCATTCGAGTCCGACATAGTCCAGCCAGTAAATTCAGACACATAGGGTTTTGCATTATCTCGATAGAACATTATCTTTTTGTGACAGAATTGAGTTTGACATAACAGCATCTTACTGTACACCTTACTGTCAAGGGTTTTACCTTTTTCCAGATACTCTATGAGGCAATCTGATCAGATACAAAGATTGACTTTTTTGTTAGAGAAATTGTGCTTTGCTACGCTGCCAACGGGCTAACCAAGTACCCTTTTCGAAGACAAACCCCCTTTTCAGCCTGTGTTGCTGAAGAAAATCCACTTTTCATCACAAATGATAATCTGGTCCAGAATTTTGTCCACGAGTTGATATTCGAGCAGATTAGTGCAGGCCCGAACACATCTGTCCTTATCTGCTTGAGTCAGCTAATGCGGCACCCAGAGATTGAACCTCTACATCAAGTTTATGCAATGCATAGCATGACTAATGGACACAGCATTAACGTCTAATGCCTTAGAAAGCTTTCATGTGGTTGCATACTCATATTCTTCCATAAGGTCTCGCATGTGGGCTCATAAACATTAGTAAGCCCGCCTGAGAGCTCTGCTTCTTGAATGTCATAGTCCTTGTTTTTGTACTTTTGATATTAAACCTTCACAAAGGTCATATGATACAATGTTAGTACCTAAAGCTGTACACATGATTTGGTGACATTTTTGTAAGTGACTTTTTGCAATAGAACTGAAAAGTAAATGATGGTTCTAATCTGGTAGCATGATAGTTCCATTTCAGACACATTGTACTTAATGATAACGATATTTTTTTACAAATTTCAAAACATGGTGTTCTAAAGGAAGTATCTTTCTTCGAAATGCTAAAAATTGTTTGAAAAAATATGATTAACACGACAATGCAAACTTTTTGCACAGATGATATTTGCGGTGGTGGGAAACTTTCGGTAAAACCCGATATTAAATAACCACATACTGAAAGTTTTTAATTTATTAAATCTGTAATTTGATACTATGAACTATATTTTTACATAAAAGATAATACAATTAACTGATAAAGAGAGGTATATAAACTGCACAGTTTTATTCATTAGCAGCTTAAAAAAATAAAATATGCTGAAAGCTTTTTGTTAACAGTAACACATAAAGCCACTTAAATCACTTAAAAATATAACTTAGTTACAAATATTACAATATATACAAATATATAACAACAAACCAAAACATACATAAAAAAATAAAAACTGCTTCTGAATTTATATTTTTGTATAAATACAAATAAAAAATTATAGCAAATATAACCATAATGGAATGGCGCTTAATTTGGAATTTGCATAACTTTTTCAAAATAATTGATCACATTATATATTCGCTATTTACATTCACTGCTTTAACAGAAAAACAAATTTAGCTGTTTTTAACTGTTTTAATCCTTAATTGACTTCTCAAAATGTCACATGAATTCCAAAAATAGTTAAAGTTCTTTCATTCCCCAACGATGAATGACTTCGGTGAATTCTGTCACAAGTTCAGGCGCCTGGGCAGTTGCCCTATCCCGTGTAGAACTGCTCTGGTAGGAGAATATAACGTAGAATTATGGCTAACATCATGAAAAGGCAAAAACCATTTCCCGGGCCATGAAGTCATCCAAACAAAGATATGAAAATAGGTAGATAGGTAGATCAAATATAGCATTTCATGTAGACAGTACATGAAATGTGATAAGCAATTAATGAATGAAGTAGCAAGTAGAATTGAAGAACACATAGAAGCATGATGGAAGTCCAGCATCATGTAAGGTGTCTAGGGTTGGACTTGAGGACAAAAATTTGTAGAGGGTGTAAACAGTAGTAAGGGATGCATGGCTATCAGTCATGTACAGTCAAAGAAGTTCATAACAGGCTGGAATAAGGAATGTATTAACAAGCAAAACAGGTATTGGATGGGGGTTGATGTTGTAAAGAAATCAAGCATTTTTGATTTAATTAGCTGAAAGGCAGTGAATTAACAACAACAAAAACAAATTAAGTATGTAATTTGGATAAAGATTAATGTATAATAAAAATCCTACCTAAGGTGCAGCAATACTGCGCCAGGCCATTTTCTTTCGTGAGCATCTGTAATATCATAATCCATGAGTGGGATAGATTCACTGATAGTAGGACTAAACTTACTGAAAACTTTTTTAGCTATTCTTCCTGTGAATGCACTGTGGAGTTCTACATTTTGTTCATCATGAATAGCAGAATTTTTAATAAACCATCTACTTTTGGTAATTTGTCTCAATGTGACATCCAGAAAAGACTTTAATGTTTTAAATTGAGTATCATTGAGAATCACTTAGAAAACCCCAAACAGGACATGTGTATGTGATGATGGGCCGCAACATGGTCTTGTACAGGAGTAACTTATTATCAATAGAGAGAACAAAGTTCTGTGAAATAAAGAGGGGTGGGGATTGAAATTTTAGAAACCTGAAACTTGTTAATAATATATGCAATGTTGCGGATCCATGACAATACTTGGTCTAATATGACACCCAGGCATAGCTTGGTCCACAGAATAATTGGTATTGTACATATGATGCTTACATTGATATTTCTTTTTCAAGTGAAGAGAAATGGTTGACTTTCTGACATTAATTTTTATTTTCTATCTGAAGAGCCAGGACTCCAGAGTATGTATATATTTTTGTAGAGACTGTGTTACCAGAGCTTAATTGCGCCGGAGCCCACTGGGACCTGGCTCCAGTACTTCTCAGTTAGAGGTAAATCGTAATTCTAGTCAGATTGCCTTTTAGTCCTAAATAAAAGTGCTCAAGACTTCTTTTATGTAAGTAAAACACTGTTTAGCAGACAAATTTTACTTAATAATTTACTTAATAAATTTTACTTAATAAATTTTACTTAATAAAAATAAATATACCTTTAAAATCGATTATAACTTCCAAATTCACACCTACCTTTCTCTAGGGGACAAACACTTTGACTGAAATTAAGACTTTTAAGGGAAGAAAAGCATCCATCCACATGCCAAATTCTTATTCTCCAAGTAGTGCAAGAAATTTTGAAAACGTTTAAAATGTTTTGTTCTCAAAAGTATTATCAGTGATTACCTTGCTTTTCCATGCCCAGTGTTAGTGACCTGCAGAGCTCCTGAAGATTTAAACTATGTCCCAAATACAGAGGACAAAAACTGTCATTTATGCAAACCTTGCATTTGGTCTCATGTTGATTCAGGAGAAATTTTTTTGCCCAGTCACATTCTGCTTCACAGCTAGAATTATAATGGCTGAGCATGGCGACAAGAAAGCTTTGGATTCTTCTATTTATTTTCAAAGCTACAATTTTCTATTAAAATTTCTTTCCATACTCTCATTGTTTTCTAGCATTACCTGTATTCTCATTAGTGATGGTTTAAATGTTTTACCATTTTCTACTGGTGTGCTGAAAAAAGAATAGTTCCCCCCCCCAATGAAATAGTATGTTATACTGTATATTTAAATTCTAAATTCAGCCCGAGGCTGACTGAGCTATTTCTTAGTTTTTGTATGAAATTTTAAGTCCAATCGAAGACCTAAATAAGACGAGGTCAGATATTTTATTTCTCTTATTTAACTATTTATCATTACTTTTATAAATTTATTAAATATTATTTAACTATTTATCATTAATTTAATAATTTATTAAATTTTTATTTAACTATTTACCATTAATTAATAAATTTTGAACTTTAATTTTTAATCTTGAAATAGAATTTTTACTTTAATTATTTTAATTATGAATTATTAATTATTTATTTACCTTTCTCCTTCTTCCTTATTGCTTTTCAGAGTGCTCTGGCACTTCTCATTTTAAAAATTAAGCCCTGTGTGTTACTGAACTCAGAGACGCATTTTTTTCAAGATCCTCTGCGTACATAGTTAGTGTGGTATTAGATAATTGTGGAATATCTTTCGCATAAAGTTAAAGAAGGACAGGGTCAAGCAACAAATCTTGTGGGATGCCCATAAGGAATTTCCTGCATGTTGAATGTGTGTTATAGTGAATAACAAATATTTCTCTTACTGTGTTTAACATGTCAATGATATTCAGTTCGTTTTTCCCTATATATTCCTTTATAAGAGCAACTTATTTCCACCACTCAAATGTGCTCAATGACAAGACAGCCTAAAACGCTTCCAACTATTTAAAAAAAGGTTCTACAGAAAAATAGGTCACACTTAAGCACTACTCTCATATTTTTTTGAATTAAGATGCCTGTTTCTTTCCATTTGCTAACAAGCTTCCAGCTTTATATTTTTGTGGTAAAATATATGCTGAAAATCTACTGTGACAGTGCTTGTTCACATCATGTTATTAAAAATTATATTCATTCTTTATTGAGATATTTTAAGCTGATTTCAAAATCCTTCCAGACTTTAAACATTTGTAACATAAAAAATATAAAAGAAAGAAAAAGAAAGGTTTTAGATTTTAACGGTTGGCCAAAAGCATTTCTTAATGTTTTTTATACTTTTGCTAAGCTCTCGGTCCCCTAGCATTGTTTTCTTTGCCAAATTTTCAGAACATGCCAAACTCGGGCTACCACACACATAACAATCCTTAAGTCAAGCAACATCATCATTTTCATATGTGTGCTTTTTGTGGTATTCCACATTCCAACAATTTTTTAAAATAAATCGTGATATTTTTTGCTTTAATTTTAAAATATGGGTTAATGAAATTTCCCAGCAACAGAAGAAACTGCAGTAAAATTTCTGCAGAATTACAGAATTTTGCGGTAACATCTCTAAATTGAACAAAAAGGATAAGTGTTGGTAGATAGCAGGTTTTGACGAGGCTTCTGCGATGCTGAGTCTCTGCACTCTCTGATGCCTTTTTATTCAAACAAATTACTGCGTACTTGGAAATAGTGCAAAAATATTACAGAAAGTTTGAAAAATGAACGTGCTTTATGTTTTTTAATGTATCATGTATTCCTCATTTAAATATTAAAATTTGTATTTTAAACTGCTCAAGCATATTTTCTTTTCGTATGCTGATAATGCTGAGAAAAAAAAAAGGTTTCAGATTTTATATTACACCCAAAGCAGCTTTTTTTTTTTAACGTTTTGTATGTTACCTTTATTTATTAAATATCACGTTCTTTGCACTTAAACCATAAAATTCAATTCAACAGCAATATCACAAAATTTAAAAAGAGCATATCTTTAGAATTTCCTTTACACAGTCTTGCACGCTGGAGATGCAGCAAACATTTTAATCCAGCAAATCAGGTCACTTAAAGACAGTGAGTTTAATACGTTTATCTTTAGATTTTTTAGAGCATTGTTAAATATATTGCTTTCAATGATTTTATTGTTTTTGTTGCTTGAATCCTGCAATTATGATTAATGTTTCAAGCGTTTTTAAAAAATGGATATCAAATGACAAATCGGGCTTACGACCACGTGGCCCTCGGAAAATTTCCAAAGTTCCCGATAGTCCCATCCGTCCCTGGTATATGTATTATTGACTAATACAGCAGTCTTATTTACATGTACCATTTTTATGTTGTTATTAAGAACTGTGACACTTTTAGTCATTAACTTTGTTAAGAACTGTAACTCTGAATCAAGTATCATCATATATATTCTGGTCTGCCATCCTTATCTTAGTTTGTAATATGATAGAAATAATGATCTGCTGGGATGATGCTCAAATACCGAGTGCCTGGCTTCCTGCCTAGGAGAAGTCAACTAAACAAAGCAAAAGTTTGAGCGGTGTAATAAATTTAAATAGGTTATTAAAGTAAAATTCAATTAAAGGGTATCTGTTCCCATCAAAGGACATCACACACCAGTGCGAAGCGATGCAGTAAGGTAAGTTAATACGTAAAATTAGAGGAAGGACACAAAAGACAGTCAGAGGTATTATTCACCGCTATCCTATGGGTTGAAGCTTATCAGCATGGGGTATTTTTTTTTCTTCCGTACAGAGTTACCATTGCTCCCTTTGAAATCATCGAGTTTTTTAATAAAAATATTTATTAAAGTTTTACAAAATACGAAATAGATAATAAAACAAATTCCAAATTTGGGCATGCCCATATTCAGGCGGAGATGCAAGTTATTCAAAATTTGATGGTTGTAGTACTGTTGTTTTATCACAATGCAAAAACACACATACATTTATGCAGATTCTTCTTTATTTCATTTTTCTAAATATAATACAGGGCAATAATATTTAGTGGCAAAAATTTGAAAAGTGAAATGCCACAAAATACGAAAACAGAATAAATAGCTCTTTTGGGCTAATGCCATATAAGATATTTCTCCCACCTTCTTAGCATTCCTTCATTGTGTAATGCTCGGCGCGTATTCGAGAGGTCCGTGGTTTGAGTCCCAGCAAGGACGCTGCACACTTTTCTCGTCTCCTGCTTCCTAATAACCTAATGACTCTACAGCCCTTTGGGCTAAAAAAAAAAAAAAAAATACTGTGACAACCACCAACTAGAACCCAGTAAGTAACCTTTACCATTTGTAAAAAATCACTAGATTGCGCGAAGGTGATTGCATTAATATGCAGGTACCCACATTTGCTTAGATCATACACCATGTGTTTGAATTAGTGCACTCATCATCAGATTTACATTTGTGGCTAGATGAGCACAGGAGTGAGAGACTCTCTTGCATTGTATTTACATGGTTCATTTATAATATTTAAAAAAAAAAAAAAAAAAAAACTTAAAAGTGCTTTTCTTCTTTTTGTTCTTTTTTTTTTTTTTTTTTTTTAAATTTAGTAATTCAATCTTTTTAAAGTATTGCAGATTGTTACAGCATTACAGAACCTTTAATTATAGTACATTTCTCATCATATAAAAAAATGGGAGAATATCTGGTTTTAATAACCTGATTAAAATTACTGACACCCAGTTTAAAAAGCATTAAAAATCAGTTTGCTGCTAATAATTACAAAATATTATAGATTAGTTTATCAATAATACTTCAATTAATGAAGAAAATTATTACATATCACATGAGTCACCTTTCAATTTAATACCAATACATCTATACCTATACAAAACTGTAACAATTTAATCTCTAAATTAGAAGACAAAAATTAATAAACAGAGAGGCTGCTCTGACCAGAAATAACTATGTCACAAACATATATTGACTTATATATATATAAGTTGAACTAGTTATACTACTAGTTGTTATTAGTACTAGTATAACAATTTATACTACTAGTCCTTATTTATACTAACAATGATTCATATAAACTGAAAGTTTTCAGTTTATATGAATCATTGTTAGTATAAATAAGGACCAAATAAAGATATTAAAAAGATTTCCAAACATACCTGTTGGACTTGCTGCAGGTGTCACAAAAGCAGTATATTTAGAACTAAAAAGAAAGAAAAAAAAATAGAACTACATAATTTAAGTCTTTAAATACATTTCATTACATGTGTTAAAGAAATAAATTAATTTTATAATTATGCAAAATTCAACTTAAACCTTGACTGGCATTAGCTTCAGACAGCCAATTTAAGTTTCACCTAATTAAAACTAGTAACGTACACTTTTTATTTAAATATACATATGTATTATATGAGGGAAATAACATTTATTAAATTTGAAATTATAAAATTATAATTAGTTTATTATCAAATTATTACTGGTCTCTTTTGGGTATGGATACATGCAGGGAGAAAATCTGAACATTTGAGAACTACTAAAAGTGAAAATTTGATACTAATAAGCGATTTTGAGTCTCAAATGACTCAGAGGAATGAAACATGCATATGGAACTCTATTAATCAGCCTGGTTTAAGGCTTCAAAACACTTTTCCCTTGACAAATTCGGTTTGAAGCGTTAAACAGAGGAGATTAATAAACAACTAACCAGTTATAATAATTCGATTCATACACAAATTCATTCATTACTTCTTATTTGAACTTTTAATTGCTCCTTATAGATTACAATTTATTATTGGATTACAATTTAATTTTAGTATTATGCAAAACAGTGCAAAGTTGGCTTAAATTAAGACATAAAAGTATTTGATGAGACATATCAGGGTGCATTTTTATGCAGTTTTTTATTTTTGGTTCAACTGTTGATTATTGCATGCAAATACTTCTTCTTCATCAATACAGATTATGTATTGATTGATATTTTTGGTACCTGTATAGGCAAAAAGAGGGATGTTATAGTTGAGAAAGATAAGTACTAATTTTGCTTCCACAGACAAAATTAAAAATTCATCTGATATGCAGCGAAAATTAAAATAGATTTTAGTTTTGAAACAGTTTTTAGTGCGCTGTCAGATGTCAAATCTATCAGTGTTTTGTATTAAGTGATTTTAAGTTGGATAGTTTTTGTTCATGCTGAATGCATTCAATACCCACTCAAATTAATTCAAGAAATAAAAGTTCAAAATAGCCTTAGTGAGCTTTGCTATTCATCTGTATTTTTTCTTGAACCGTGATATTACTTTTCTTTTTTTTTTTCCAAGAAGGTTTCTGTAAAAAGGATGTATTAATTATTTTACTTTTCCACATATTCCAATCAATATATGTTTCCTCTTAAAAGAAGACCCTTCGGCATTTTCAACAAAAACTGTGACATTCTCCCTTAGGAATGATAGTTAAATTTCTTTCATTTTGTCATAAATTCTGACCACTTTGGCATTTCACATAACCATGAACAATATTATGTTTCAAATCTTCAGAACTTAAAGCAGATAACCAGAATAACGCTTAGTGCCTGCAGTTATTAATATGTAAAAACTGTTATTAGTATGTAATATTCAACCTTGTTACTTTGGAGTCTTCCCTGCCGTGATGGTATATAATTCTGTTTGATTCATGTCTGTGGTCGGAAGCCATCATAGTGGTGCACTCACTCACCCACTCCTTATCATTTAAACTATCAACAATACAGCATTATGTTATATTAAAAATGTTACCAACCGTGCACGCAAATCCTCAAAGCTTTTCCTCAAAACAACTGCCTTACTCTAATGTGCAGCAAGAGGGATTCATGATGGCTTGCCATATTCTTCACGCATTAGTAATAGTATAAAGTTTGCTTTTAAGAGGCTGTGATTTTATGCAGCTTATCAGTGGCGTTGCTAGGATTCCAGTGCCCAGGGACAACTGAAGAATTTCCACCCCTCTCTGTGTGCCAAGAATGGAAAACATTTCATTAAAAAATTTTGTAGCATCAATTTGGCGCCACCTGGATGCTGCGCCCCGTGACAGATGTTCCCCCTTGCCCCACCCTAGCTAAGCTACTGCAGCTTATTATCTTTACTAATGAATACTTACTAGCTACACAACTACACTTCGCAAAGAAATAAAATACACAGAAAACTCACAGTAAAGTTGCTAAGAAATTACAATATTATCACTATAAAACCAGCTATCCATCCATCTGTATTTTTATGGGGTTACGTTTCAACAAACTTCAAGTAGATTCCGGGAATTCTCACTTCTTGATGAATTTCTATATTCAAAATATTTATTTCTAAACTTTTCATTTTGATTCTACTTTTTGTTCCTTATTCATTAATTTCATTCAGTTTTTATTTATTTTACTTTTCTGGGGCAACTCAGGAGCCCATATTGCTGTGCACAGCACAGATTGGGAACTGCTGATCTAGAGTTTTGTTAAAACTAACTATTCCATTAGAAGGTAATTGTTTCTTTTTTTTATCTTTAATCAACCAATGATCAGACTCGTGCTTTTAAAAACATTTGTTGAGAACAGTTGAATTTGTAGATCATATAACACCCTCATTACTGAGAAGATTGCCCAGAGATATATATAGAGGAGAGTGACCAATATTACTACTGCGAACACAGTAGAAAAGACAACATACATATATTTTATTAATTCCATGAACAAGGCAGTTGGTCCTACTTGCTAATGTGCTTATTAGCCTATTTAAACTCAACCAGTGATTCTAAATACACTCACATATTCAAAGATATATTCCACTAGGAGTTGTTTTTGTAGGAAAAGGTAACAGCGATGAGGTCAGCTACATGGCTATAGCATTTTATTTGAGTGTGTTTTAGTGTTCTTCTGTTAACCTGGAAGAAGGAAGGGACAATGCAAGTGTTATTCTTTAGGTTAAAATAAAACTGTTTCTTTCAGGGTCCCTGAGAATTTCCTGTTTGATAAACATGCCAGGACAGATACATATTACAATTACACTGATGTTCATCATATGAAAATAAATATACAAGGCAAGTAATTTATCCCATATACAAACACAATTTTATATTGGCACGACACGTTTACCACTATTAAAATTATAATATTACTGTTATAATATACAGTCAAAAGTCTTTAATCCGGATTCGTCGGGACTTTGGTGATTCCGGATTATAGATCATCAGTTTAAATCTGGTAAGATGGCATGCAGAAATTATAAAATTAAAAATATGAAACCGTAATTTATGAAATAAAGAACAATTATGATCTAAAGGGTATCAAAATTTACCAAAAAAAAGCTTAATATTTATTTGTTTACTTTATTAAATATTTCTTTCAACACACGCATGCGTAAAGCATGCATTACGCATAGTCAAAATAAGAAAATTGCAACCAGAAAACTATTTGATGTGTATTCATGATATTTATAATGAATTTGATTAAAATCATATCAAAGACGGAGTACATAGAGATGAAATACTACGTTTAGTAAGGAATTATAAGCCGAATAAAATAAAAACATCTGCCCTGAAGATAAGGATAGTGCGAACAGATCAACTTCCAGTTCATTGCGCGTTGCGACGTCCCCCCTCCCCCGCAGAGCAGCATGAAATTGATAAACAGATTTTGGAATGGTTAGAGAAACAAAGGATATGCCTTTATCCATTTTTTACAGCAATTCCACTTTTTGTTTGATGGACGTCGAAACATGCTTTCGCTTTGTAGATCCTTTGGCAGCTCCAGAATCGGAAATTCTATTTGATATAATCGAAAGTTCAAGCTTACTTTTATAAAATTGCTCTAACAGTCTGCAAAAAATAATAAGCCTGATCCAATTCGAAGATTGAGGAACAACGCAATCTGCAACATTAAATGAAATAGATAGTTAGATAATTTTAGCTTAGCTTATACCGTCCGTTGTACATTAAACGCGCATGCGTAAACGTATTATGAGCATGCGTACATGCATATGCACATGCATAAAGGTATTACGTGCATGCATAAATGCATATGCATGTGCATGAATGCATTATGGCATTTATGTTTTTAAGAATAAATTTAACAGTGAACTGCGCAGAGAGTTTGTAGCTTTGAGGTCCGGATTATAGATCATTCCGGATTAACGACTTTTGACTGTAATAAGTAATACTGTAATAAATATTTATATGCTTCAACAATACTGGTACACTGACACATCAGTACAAATGCATAAATATAACAATGCAATACTGTTGTAATATGAGTGAAATACTGTTACAATACTAACCCAGTAGTGTTACAATATTGAACAGATATTAATGCTGTTATACGATATTTACGGTGGATATACAAGTTAATACAAAATTTGTAAAGATGTCTCTATCATTATATCACTATTTTGAAAATGCATAATGCATAGTGGTAAAATAAAAATGGGATTACACAGACACACTCTTAAAAATGCATATTCATGCTTGTAAGATAATGTAGTACCTGCAAAAATTAAAGTAGTATTGCAAATTACAAAATAAAGATCGGATTAATTTTGCAACCTATCTGAAATCAAATAACTACATTAATTTGGCTTCATTTTTTTTTTTTTTATTTCACTATGGTTAAGGGAAGGGATACCTTTGTAGAGAGCTTCTGAGAGAAAACAGTCTTGTTACACATGAGGAAAGCTGCAAAAATGCCCATGCAATTAGCCCGTCCGAATAGCATCGAACCTAAGCTGAACCACCAGTGTTCAGTGACATTATCAACCAACTGCTGGAGATCAGAACAACATTAATACAATTCTGGATATGTTTAATTGCATATGAGTTGTTGCTGATAATTTTAGCCTATGCATAGCTATTCTCGGTGGATGAAGAATTAAGAATAAATTTATATCTCTCATATGCTGAAAAGTTGCACTTTATTAAATATGTTGAATGTGCAATATTTTCTCAAATTAAATTTGGTCTTTGGTTGCTAAAGTAATTGTAAAACTTTCAACATGATACCAATTACTTTAAAGTTAGAATAATTATATTCTATATCTTGACTGAACAAACATTCCACTTTTTGGTAGTTATGTAATATGCTTTTAGTTATTTATTTTTGAGATGACACTATTAAAACTGGTTGCTATTTTAATTTCTTTTTCCCACCATTTTATTCCACATTCAAATATGAAAAACTACTAAATGTTTTATTTT